TTTAGCAATGGTAGCCGGAGTGATTTGAATGCCTAACAACGAGTTAACTTGTTTAATTGGAATGGAAGAAAGAGAATGGCCATAAGATTCAAAAGTCGAATTAGTAGAAAAGTTCTTTGCAAATAGTTCTGGCTTAATCTTGGGAGAAGTAATAAGATCATTCCCATAAATGAGAGAAGGAATGTCAGACTTACCCTTGTTAATGAGGCTATTGAAGATTTTCCATCAGTCTCTAGAGCCTAACTTCTGAGAAAAGATATGGGATTTAGTGAACTGAGCATAATGGAGCTTAGCATCATACAGCACATTTTTACATAGACTTCTTGCCATAATAAATAGCTGTTTGTTCTCAAGAGAGTTGTTCTTCAGAAAAAGATTAAAAAAATGATTACGATTAGATATAGCAGCTGCACTAAAAGGTAAAAACCATGCAATAGAGTAAGACTTGACTTGGAACCAACATGAAGAATTAAAAACTTCTATTCCTGCCTAAATCTAGGAAGTTACGTAGGGGGAGCATTTATTGAGAGAAAAGACATTAGCCCAAGGACCGACATGAAGAAAATCACGAAAAGCGTCATAGTCAACTTTAGTAGTAAGTAGTGCGATGATAGGGTGAGTCCAAAAATAAAGTACCAGATAAAAGATTTCAAAAGATCATTGCATGGTCAGAACCACCTAAGGGAGAAAAAGGAAAAACTGAACACAAGCCAGGATCAGAGACATAAATCAAGAAGTAAAGGTAAATGATTAGGTTTACCAGGAAACAGGGATGCGGAGTCCCAAAAAAGACTCTGGATTTGAAAGTCGCAAAAAGAATACTTTATACTAGTTTATGGTATCTAGGAATTCTAAAAATATAAATAAGTTTATGGACTACTTATAGGAAAAAAATTAAGACTATTAGGTTAGAGGAACAATCATTTTTTGAACCTGGACTTCTTAGGTATAATGGCAGCAGGGACTTTGGGACTCCAGGACTCCGGGCTTAAAAACAATAAGTTTCAACTCATTAAATCTTATGAATTTTTTTCTCATAGCAGATCATAAGTCGTCAACATACATGTTTAGAGCTTCTGGACACTACTGACTTGGAAAAAGTAGATATATTAGGCTGGAGTACTTTTGGAACTCTGCATTCTTGCCAGGAAAACAGGTCACAAAGTTAGCTATCTGAGTAAGAGATTGAGAAATGCAAAAGTTATAGGCTTTAGTCTCAGTAGTATCATTGGTGTTACAGCTAAGCATTTGATTTGATGAGCATTAAAGTCACTGATAACAACAATGTTGACAGAGAGGTAAAGAGAAAGGGCATAATCAATTTGATCAGAAATTACACCTTAAAGAGTGCAGTCTTGGGGAAAAAGAGAACAATCAAGAACAAAGAGAAAAGTGATAAAATGAAGAGGAAGCACATAAAAGAATGGTCAAAAGATTCAAATCAAATAAGTGAATTGATGCGTATGTATACCCCTAAGTCAAGCATGTGAATATTGGAGTCTTTGGAATCTGGATGGTTTTTTATATTTTGGGTTACTTTTGGCATGATTTAAGTTTAAAGAGACTAATAGAGTATGGCCTTGTAAGCAATGAGCTATGCAGTTGTCTCAGTCCTGTTAATTAACCCAAGTCATAACTTAGGGCTCCTTATGTGATCTTGACAATGTTTGCTAAAGGTATTAACAAAAAAACCATCCATACGCAACATAACACTGTTAATACTCAAATATTTTACAGCTGTTGATTTAATCAGGCTCTCTGAGAGCTACCACAGAGTTCGGAAAACCTTTCTACCAGCCATCCTCAGAAATATTAAACTGAGTTTAGAGCTGTACCTTTATCAGGAGATAACAGGGAGAGTTGTATAGCTATTATCAAAGAGGCACAAGCAAAAAAATAAGTCAAGAAGATCCAGCATTCATCGTAGGCAGGAAATAATGTAATACAGGTTTACATCTACACCAGCCTAATAGATGAAGAAGGGGTTTGAGGCTGGTCAACATAATAATTCTTTTTAATCCCTAAGTCTTTGCCTAGGTTTACCTCTTAAGTCGTTGCCTTCTAGAAGACAGTAGCTGGATGTAATTAACATCTGTCCAAGATGTTAGCTGCATTATTTTTTCACAAAAATACAATATTTTTAACCTAACACTATGAATCATCTATTAGGACTCATCTATCCTAAGAATGTTTTTCAATTGTTCAATCCATCAACGGGCATGTGTTTTAACCCAATTTAACATTTTTATTTTGATAATAAGTCTTAATAATGGTTTTCAAACAACTAAGCATCCATTCACAAAAAGCCAAAAACAGTCTATCTTTGATAATGGAATAAATTTGATAATAAACTGATTGTTTAAAGATCTGATATTTGATAAGAAAATCTTTGAAAAATTTCTCTATCTTATAGTTTATTTTTTATCTTATTAGTTTTTTTTTTAGATCTTCAAGAATATTTTTTACTTACATGGGCATTACTTTTAGTAATGCCCATGTAAGTAAAAAATTACAACACAGCAACTTGAAATTTTCATTGTTTTGGAAATTTGAACATAAGACTAACTCTCTTAGTGGTAAACCAGAATTCTAACACTTTTAGTAATACTGAATTCATTTTTTTAATTCTTTTTTAACAGTAAAATAAAATTTTAATATAAAAAATCAATTTTTAGATTTAAAAAAGTGCACAAAAAAACTCCTAAAATGTTTGAACATATTAATTATTAAAGATATTGAAACCAAAGTAAATATAATTTAAATAGGTTTTTATCAAAGGAATATTGATTTTTATACCCGATATGTATATCCCATGTTTATTCTCTACAGATATAATATAAATATGTATATATCAATGTACCGGCACTCATTGTGGCAGCATGCTATAAGATAGTCGATGTTTATACCGAAGCCCTTGACAGCAGCTATTTCAGTGTTATTTCAAATATGTTTAATACGCGTTTATAGTTGTGCATATGTATAAATATATATATATATATATATATATATATATATATATATATATATATATATATATATATATATATATATATATATATTTATACACATGCACAACTATAAACATAAATATATATATATATATATATATTATTATTATTATTATTTTTATTATTATTATTAGGATGTGGAAATTAATGTAAACATGGGTTTGCAAAACAGAAAAAACACCTTTTAAACAAATACATACATTTTATAATAAAAAAACTATTTAATATAATGGTTTAAAAATGTGTGTCCACCCTTAATTTTTACTACTTTGGGTTTTCTTTTTGGCATACATTCTATAATTTTTGTACATTTTTTTTTTTTTTGATTTTGTTATTTTGAAATTAGCCTATATCACTGCCTCACTTATATCACTGCCTCACTTATATCCCTGCCTCACTTATATCACTGCCTCACTTATATCACTGCCTCACTTATATCACTGCCTATCTTTCATATTGCTTTTGATCTTATAGTACATTGTTCTCGTCCATTATTTGCATATAGCCCACAATTTTTTAATTGGATTAAGGTCAGGTGAACCTGGCAAATCTAATAGTCTTAAGTTATTTTTTTTGGAAGTACTTTATCATTTTCTTAAACCTATGCTAAGGTGCAAAATCTTGTTAGAACCATGCCTCACCACTAGCATCCCTTTTTTTTAATTCCAGGTTTAGTTTTTTGTCTAGTAATTCATTATATTTTTTAGAATTCATCATTCTTTTAATGGGAGTCAATGATCCCGGGCCATAGTGTGAAAAACAGCCCCAATACATTACTTTTTGAGGACTTTTTGTTCAATGTGAGCAGCTCCTAATTTTTCATTACTGTCCTTTTTTAAGTATCCTTGCTGCTGTCCTTGGACTACAAAGTGTGTCTTGTTGAAAAATAAAGAGTTTTTCCATATATCTGTCAAATTAGCGTATTTTTTTGCTTAAATTTTCTCTTCTTCATATTTTATGTCAATAACTGCTTCTTTTGTGGTCTAAATGAATTTCTTCCAAATTCAATGTCTTTTTCTCAGTGTAGAGTTGTGAATCTTCTTTTCTGCCACACTTTTCTATTCTTTGTAAAGCAACAGATCCAGGTTTTTAACATTTCTCTGTAGCTTTTTAAAGTCAAGGCTAAAGGCCATGAATGAGAATTCCTAAAATGGACTACTGTCAAAGTAAAAAAAAATCAAAGGGTTCTTATTTTACCTGAATTTAATAACCTTTATAAAACTTTAAAACAGGACTTTAGGAGGGTTTGGTGATATGACTAAGTAATGAGTGTTTAGACTAAGCGATAAGACTGGTGATAAGGGCTTTTTTGGGGAATGGTGATAAGACTACGTTTGTATTCTTTTACATCCAGTCATGTAAATATTGGTTTTTGTAAATTATGATTTTAAATTATTTTCTATTAGCAAATATAGACACTAATAATTCAGAAATCTTTTATGTTTTAATTATGAAAGTTTTATTTATGGAGATCTTAATAAAGACTTTCAGAAGCTCTAGAGTCCAACCTTTTTTGATATTTTTGTAAAAATAATATTTGACTTTAAACCTTGAAGTTCTATTTTTGAACTTCCATCCTTGCAAGTACTCAATCTTATAATATATGAACATTTTTACAAGGTTTCTTTTTTTTACTAATTAATATGTAATCAATATTTTTTTATTTATTGTAATTAATTTTTTTATAATTAATATTTGTAAAAAAACATGTGCTCATAATTAGCAATCAATCTTTGAGGGAGCTAATTTTTCTTAGTACGATATAAAAGTTAATAAATATAATGGTAAAAATTGTTATATTTATTTTCATTTACTATTTAATATTTAGGGGTTTGCTAATGATATGTCAATATTTTGTTTGCTGTTTTAAAGCATACCTTTGCTGTCAGATGTTTTAAGCATATAATTATTTATGCTAAAATTTCTTTTAAACAATTTGTTTTAATGAAATATGTTTTAGCTAATGATTAAAACATAACAGGTTGCTTTTAGTTCAAAGTCCAAAAGTTAGAAGGAAGACTATGAAACGTTCTCCATTACCTTCTTCGATTTTGCCAACATCTCCTTCAGATCAAACTGATCAAGTGAAAGAAAGAAATTTAAGTATGTCTTACTCTAAAGAAAAACATGAGTTTGTACCCCCTATAGAATCTGTAGACCGAAGTAGCTGGGTGAAAGATTCACAAGTGACAACATGCATGCAGTGCAATGAATTGTTCAATATGGTTAGTTTTGATTTTTATGAATTAATTAAATTCCTAGCAATTTTTTTCTCTAAATGAAATTTCTCCATCTGTAGATTGTGATCATTAGATCTGTAGATATCTATTTTTAGTTTAACCGGCGTCATCATTGTCGACATTGTGGTCGGGTTGTTTGTTCAACTTGTTCTGACTTTACATGCTATGTACAGCAATACAAAAAAAATGAAAGAATATGTTTAGTTTGTGCACAATATGTCTACAATTCGTGAGCAAATTTTAATATTTTACTAAATTAAATTAAAAAGTTTTAAGTTACTTATACTATTAAGCTTGCTTTAATTAATAAGTTATTTCAATTTAGACCTGTAGAAAACGTTGACAATAGTAAGTTTTTCTTTTCTTTTTTAACTAGCTGGTGGTGCCAATTTTGTAAAAATATTTAAATTTACTTTACCATCACCACAAAAGTATAAAAATATTCAAGAATAACAATCGTTCATATAATCATATTACACTTTGCTAAATTGTTAAATAATAATTTTTTTAGACTTTTTAGTAACAACAACTCCAAGGCCTTTACCAAAAAGTTCAAAAACTTCATCTGAAAAAACAAGCAGCAATTTTGAGCTAGATAAAACAGAATGGAAATTATATACTGATCCAAATCAAAATAAATCAGTTTATGATAACTTTTACTATGAGCAGGTTTTTATTTTTTTTTTTTGTTTATTATTTATATTTTGAGTTTACATTATTTTTAAGCTCAACTTTTTTTTTTATTATTTCATAAAAATCTTTTTAATCTTTTATAAGGGTTCCTAACTTTTAAAAATATATATATTTTGTTTGAAAAAACATTAAAAAGGTACTTTGCTGTTGTAGAAGTGCTAATAAAGTTTGTATTTTAAAAATGTTTTTTCTTTAATCACTACTATTGTCTTGTCCGAAACTTTGTTTATTTTGAAATATGGAAGATAGTACACCATAAAAATGATAGCATATCATAAATAATGTTTAATTAAATTTTTAAGTTTATAGCAAAACTTGTATTTGGCAATTCCTATAGTTTTTTAACTTGAAATTTTAAGAGTTTTTTTTATATAAAATGCTTTCCAAATGCGACACATGAATTGGGAAATTACAAATACATAAAGTTTTGTTAAAGCACTTTAAAACAATTTAAATCACAGCCTGTCTTAATTTGAAAAAAAAAAAATTAATGTTTTTTATTACTTTTTTTTTTATTATCGCATACATAAGTTTATATTTATTTTTTAAATGTTACAGTTATTTTATATTACCTGTTCCAATATTTATTGACTTTATTTCAACACAACAAACACGTTATTTTTTAAGTGGCATAGTTTTACATTATTCACTTTTACATCATTCAACAATAAGACTCAATTGAATTTCAATGCTTTAGCCATGACAAAATTCAAATTTTCATAGCTGATACCATCTTTAACTATTTTGTTTTTTATATCCCTACAGATTTTTTTTAATCTTTTTTTTAAGAGGTTTTGATTGGTATGGAGTTAGTGACTTTTTTAGTTATCAAAATGTAAATGAAAAACATAGCATGATTACTTTTTTATTTCTTTTCAAATTAACAAAATTTAGCAATTTGAACTAAATTGATAGAGTTATCAATATTTTCATCAATAATCTCTAATAAATAATTTCGTTTATCTAAATTAATTTTTTATTTTAAAAATCATTTTGATAGCAAAACTCATATTCTTTTTATGTAGGAGTAATAAAAATAAAAATCATTATTTCAATTATATAAATCATTAAAATCATTAGCTCTCCCAAAAATTTGAGGACATTGGTCACCTTAAATATAAACACTCTATAAAAAGTAAATACAACATTCTATAATATTTGTAATAAAGATCATACAATTAATAAAAAAACAAATATACAAAAGAAACATTAATATAAGGGTTAAAACTAAAACAAGTTGCAATACTAAAATCTAAAAACCAAAATTTTTTTTTAATTGTATTACGTATGTTTTTTGCAGGTTAGTGAAAAATTATACAAATAAATATGATTTGCTGATTGTGAAAGGAAAAGTACTTCAATATCTTTAAAAAAAATAGATGTCATATACTAAAACATTAATAAATTAAATGCACATGAAATAAATTATCAAGTCTGTAGATTGTGGTATATATTATATAGACTGAGAGAACTTAGAAAATAAAATGAAAAAGGCGAGGTTTGACTAATGCGTTGATTTTAGTTTTTATTGATATACTATTTAGTTGTAATCAAAAAACTCTAGTACGATTGTTCTTTGTTAATATTTTAAACACAATTTGTCTCTAATTGGGGATTCCTTTAACAGTTCATTTATGACTTTATCAACAGTTGATCAAGTCATAATTGAAGCAAAGTCAAAATAGATCTACAATACAAACCTCTTAAGAATGGATATCAGTTGTTTCAATAAAATCTTTGCTTATGCTGGCGGTGATATTTTTCTGTCTATAAAAAACTCTATCAATGTATCTGAAACTATTAATATAGAACTCAACATTATCATGGTTGAGTAATTATTGATATAATAAGAGACATCAAATATGCAGATGTGAATATTGGAGGAGAAACGACAAAAGCAACAACAACGACAAAGCACCAACATGAGATAAATGACCAAACCAAATATTCCTTCATTGCCTTTAAAAAAATTCATTTTATGCAACTTATTACCTTGCCAACATTTCAAAGTTCAATCAAGGATGATTCAGAAAATTATCTTGATCTTCTCATCATAGATGAGCCTGATTTTACACTTAAAAGTGATGCATATCTTGGCCATGCAAAGTCATGCTTTCATGAATTTGTGTGAATATGCCATTGCTAATACAGTCTATCTAATAAATGGAAAACAATTAAACACTCATTTGGGCAAAAGCTGGATTTAAGAAAATTTCTGAACATTTTGTATCACTAAACTGGAATAACTTATTTCCTGTCAGCTAATAGTTGCTATCAAATTTTTATTAGAGAATAAAATTTAACGTGTGCTTAATATATGACAATGTCTGACTAAGCATGTTTTCAATATATATACCAAAATCTAAATTATTTCAATATCATTAACCTTGTATAAGAATTGATGTGGCTATTCAACTACAACAAGAATTCTGGACCAAATACAAATCTTATGGTTGATTTGTTCAAGGCAAGTCTGTTGGATAATTTGTTCATCACAAATCTGCTAGACAAAGTGTTTATGAAAAATTAAAATTAGAGCATACAGCAGTATGACAGTAAAAAAAATTTTAAAAATAGAAATAGTATGAAATATGAGAAGACTATTGTTCAAAAAGTAAATTAATTCCTAAAATACTGGGTTTTATGACATCCATTTAGAAACCCTCTGAAATTATTTTTTAAGTATGGTTTTACCTTTAACAATAATTTATAATCATTCACTTAGTACTGGTGACCAGTCTTGTTACTATTAATTCCTGGAAAAGTGTTGGAAGTGATCATTTGGGAGGTTATCATGCATCACTGTGAACAGGGAGGTTATCATGCATCTTTGTGAAGCTACAGGTATCATCTCAAATACATAACATGGGTTTGCATTTAAAAAAATGTGTGTGAATAATTTATTAGATATCAAAGGTACTCTGTTTATGTCATTTTATTGACTTTAAAAAGACCTTTGATTCAGTACCTCAAAGAAGACTACTGCATGGAAATATGTTTAAATTTTATTTAATTTGTTTTATTATTTAGTTCTATTGTTTACCTATTGTTTAAATCATTTGTTTGCCTAATTATTCTATTATTTACCTAGTTATTTAATAATTTACTTAAGTATTCTATTATTTACTTTATTATTCAATAACTTACTTAATTATTCTATTATTTAGTTAATTATTCAATAATTTACTTAATTATTTTTTTATTTAATTAATTATTTTTTTATTTACTTAATTATTTTTTTATTTACTTAATTATTCTATTATTTACTTAACAGGCCCCTAACGCTCCACTTTGTTTATCTATTATTGACCTACACAGTAATGACAAAGCTGCAGGTGGACTTTTAGTAAAGTTTTGCAACAATCTATCTCAGCACTTTCATTCTAGCACTGAATATGACTTTAATATGATTGTTGGGTATATTTTAGACATTTTTTATATTGTATGCATTTTTTTTTTTTTTAATTTTCTTATTATTAATTTCTTGTTGTAATAATTATAATTTTTGAATTGTTATAATTTTCTTATTATTATTATAGTATTATTTTATTTGTATTTTAATTAAAATACAAGTAGTTTTTTCTTTTCTTTATATGATTTTATCTAGGATAATTGAATTTATTTTGAAACATGCTAAATTGAAGTTTTCAAAGTCTGGAGATGATGGTGGTATATCCATGTGTGATTTGTAAGTTGAAACAATTTTGTGATTATTACTTACATTGAAATGGGGAAATACAAGATGATCTTGTTTTGATATTTTGTATGAGCATTTTGTATGTTAGGGTAAAATTTCTGTTGCTATTTTATCAATTATGTTTCTAGGGTTATATTCTAACTGTTGTTATGGCAAAAAACAATTTTAATAAAGATTATTGAAATTTCTTAATGTAAAGTGTAATAAATTGTTAAATGTAATAAAATTGTTAAATGTTATTGTGCAAAATATTAGCTCTCAAAGTGTTTATTTAATCAGCAGTTATGTTTAAATGCCATATAGTAAGCTATTTAATTTTCTCCATTGAGATTCTGTTACTTATAAAGAGTGATTTATTTTTTCTATTAATTTTGAATTGGTTTTCATCAAAGCATAAGACCTCACAGAATGGTTTTGCATGCATATCAATCCCTTAGTGATTAAGAATTGTTAAGAATTTCTTTTGTAAAATGTTTGACTTGATCTACATAAAATAATTCTATTTTTAGAAATTTTGGTTTTTTATCTGTTTAAAAAATTTTATATTAGATATTGACTGGGGATTGAAATTATTTGTTCACTACTGAAAACAATAAATAGTTTTTCTCTAGATGTTAAAATTTCATGATTTGTTAACAGCATTTCTTTTCTTTTTTTTTTTAAATTAAAATAAAGGTTAATGATGAAGCACTACTTTTAATGTTAATGATTTGGTAACTAAAATTTATTTTGGCATTTTAAATTAAGTAAAATATTTACTTTGTTCTAAACATGTTTTGTTCTAATTAAAATTGAAGATTAAAACAGTTTTTTTAAGTTTTTTGTTAAAACTACCAAATACCAAACTCTTAAACTTAAAACTGTACTACTATCCCCATAATATTTTAGAATAATCAACTATCCTTACACCATCCAAGAAACAATGTAATCAGTCAAAAATAGACATACTAGAACAAATAATCTTTAAATGCCAGACAATCCTTTTTACGTTTCAATTATTAAGCTTATTTTTTTCATAAATAAAGTTAAAAATTGTCTCCTTGAAAAAAAAACATTTGAAAAGTTTAGTTTCCTCTAACTTCCTGATTTCTAATTTGCTGGTTGTCTTGTTAAAGTACATACTAATAAAAAAAAATATTGTCTTAAATTTTTAAAGTTACCAAATTAGTTTTTAACCTGTAAATGCCAAGTTTACTGTCAAGACAATCTGTTCGAAAGGTACCAGAAAGAACATATCATAGTTCTTCTGGAAGTAATTTTTTATTAATTCAACTATTCTTTGTAACGTGTAGATTAAAACATGTTTTTTTATGTCTAAATTTCAATATCTCTGACATCTTAATCATGCATCCGAAATGTTAATGAATCTAGGATCACTAAGTATCTGCAAAGAAGACCTATCAAGATCTTTGAGTAAAACATCACATTTTTCTCTTTACATTTAGCATGTTCCATAATGGAATAATTGGTTCCAAAAAACAAATGAATTAAGTTACACAAATGCAATACTGCAACTGTTTTTTCATTAAATCAAAATTTTTTCAACATAATGTCAATCAAATAAACTAAAGTGTACTGATTTGTGTGAAAACTTAGGTAAAACTTAGTATCTGTGTATCATATAGTGATTGAACAATTAATTGCCAGCGAGTGATTGGTTATTCATGTTTAAATAAATTGCTTAGGCTTTTTTCTGTAAACCAACTTTTTCTTATACTTTTAAACAAGTGAACTAAGTCATTTTGCATAAAAACAGTTCGCATAAAAACACTTTGATTTGTTGGATGGTTGTTAAAAAATACAGTAGTTCTCTTATTGAGAACTACTGATAGACTCATTTCTAAAAAAAATGGTTTGGTCTTTAGCTTAACTCTGCTGTTTATGTAGCTGCTGCAGTTTTAAATATTTCTAAACTTTACTTCTGGTATTTAAGACCAACAGCTAAAGCCAGTCAGACCAACAGCTAAAGCCACAGTCAGACCAACAGCTAAACTTACAGTCAGGCCAACAGCTAAAACCACAGTCAGACCAACAGCTAAACCTACAGTCAGACCAACAGCCAAAGCCACAGTCAGACCAATAACTAAAGTCACAGCCAGACCAACAGCTAAACCTACAGTCAACCCAACAGCTAAAGCCACAGTCAGACCAACAGCTAAAGCTACAGTCAGACCAACAGCCCACATTTAATTTAGGCTTAAGCTCATTAGTAAACTTTTGAATTTAAAAAAAAAAGCCAAAATAATGATTTGATAGCAAATGCTAAAGATAGTTTCACTCAAATAAGTGTGCCTAGTGATGAATTGTTTGATCAGATTTATCAAAGCATAGAATTGGATTAGGTAGAGTACAAAAAAGCAGAAGCATCAAGCACTTAGTTGACAAAAAAAAGATAACTATAAATATTTTTAAAAACTTTCATTAACAAAACTCATTACAATGCATTTTGGTTTGATAAAAGAATTGCTGTATCTTTATAATTTGTGTCTTATGTTTTACAATATACCAACTTCCTTCCCAACTTCCTTCACATATATTGAGCGTTTTTTTAGCATATGCAAAGTTAATTGAAAAAGAAAAAATAATGAAATTAAGATCTCAAAAAATGTATCAACAAATTGTATTATAGTAATACCAAATGTTGCAAATAACTATAACAAATTGTTATAATTTTACTAATATTTAACAAATCACTAATAAACTAATATTAACAAATAACTTTACCTCGTTCTCATTGGACCCATCAGCAATCATGGATACTTATTTTTCATAGTGCTTGTGAGTTTGCATTTTCTCTTTGTAGAAAATGAAGTCATTTTTATACAGAAAGCAGTAGTTTAATTTTATTGTTGTTTTTAGCAAAAATTTATTTAAGTTTTTGCCTAAAAAATTCAAATTTTAATCGAATATATATGTATATAAATACATACATAATTAACATAATTAACATAAATATAAACAAAGTTAAACTCATGATTTAAACCAAAATGTATTAAATTTAAAACAAACAAAAAAAATAGTTTAAAAGTTAAAGAATAAATCTAGGAAAAACACTCGGGAATAGGTTAGAAATTACCCATGCTAAAGTTTATTTTATCGAATTACAGAATCACAACTCATAACTAACAATAGAAACTAAGTACATTGAATATTCAGCTTTCACTGAATACATTATTTAATGAATAAGTGTTTGTATTCTTTTTTAGCCAACTGTCATATGTTGAAGTTCTAAAAATTCTATTAGCAGCAAATTGGCGTGAAGTACCTTCGAGTCAAGATTTTACTAATCCTGATTGTTTGAGGTGATTTTTAATTCTTGTTTATGCATCTTATATGAAAAATTCAAGAACATCTATTTTTTGAATTATAGTAATTTTTCAAGACAGGTTAACCTTCATTCAAAGGATGGGTCTGCTTTTTTTGGTTTATTTATGCCATTCATTTGATTTAACAATTGAAATTTGATTTTTAAAAAAGGCAGACCTTACATCTGATGCACTCTATGTACAAATCTTCTCATAGCTGAAAAAATAAAATTATAACTTTTAATATTTGTTGTAATAATATATATATATATATATATATATATATATATATATATATATATATATATATATATATATATATATATATATATATATATATATATATACATACATACCAGTAATAAGAGTAATATTTTGGTAGACAGTGCTGTAACGTCTGATGATCGCATAAAACGTGAAACTCTGAGATGTGTTACAAATTTAATTGTATTTTATTATTGTTTTAATATAATATTATATATATATATATATATATATATATATATATATATATATATATATATATATACATACATACACACATACATACATACATACATACATACATACATACATACATACATACATACATACATACATACATACATACATACAAACAAACATACATACATACATACATACATACATACATACATACATACATACATACATACATACATACATACATACATACATACATACATACATACATACATACATACAGTATTGGCCATTCATAACAATCTGTTGTTTTAGTATGAATACAAGTTTGAAATTAAATATTTTATAAAATAAAAGTGATTTTTTCTCAAGTTTTTTTTAATTGAGGTAAATCAAATTCTCTTTGTAATTGGACCATTGGCAGGCCAAGACATGATTTTATTGTTACTTTTTTCAAACAATTGCTCGCAAATCTTAGCAGTATGGAACATTATCTTGTTGAAGATGTTCTCATGTCTTTTGGGAAAATGGCAATCAAAGACATTAAATAGTTGTCCAATGTCTAAATAACTATTTCAAGCCTTTCGCCAAATATTTTGAAACAACTGAGACCTTCATAGTTCATGCCCAGATGCCACTACCACTATCACCAGACCACTATCATGTTTTGTTTTATAAGTAGAACAATTTGGGTCCATATTTTCATCTGGCTTTCTTCTCAACATTACTTGGTTTTTCCTTAAATCAACCTCAATGTTTATTTTGTCTCTGAAAAGAATGTTGTATCACATGTTCATAGACCAAATTTTATGAGCTAAACACCAGTTTTTTTTTGCTTTTTGATGTTTATCAATAGATGTGGTTTTTTGCAAGCAGCTCGCAACATGTAATTTTGTTTTTGTAGTACTCTTCTAATTGTTTGAGTACTAACAACAACACCAGAAGCTTTTTGTCTTTTTCGACATCAGCAGATGATAAACTTCTACTTTTTTTTATTTCAGAAAATACATAATAAATTCAGTAGAAATTTATGCAATATTAATAATATTTCTGTAAAATGGTAAAAACATGATAGCAAAATATTGATATAATGATAGCGAAAATTTATTGATAGCGAAATCTACTGAGATCAGTAGATGATAAACTTTTTTTTATTTTGCAAGTAAGTGAACATTCATTTCTTTTATTTAAAATGCTGGGTCTTCCAGGACACGGAAGATTTTGAATTATATTTAATATTTAATATCACCTGATTATTCTACTAAAAGTTGCATTTCTTATGTTAAATATTTTTTTCAAATATTTATAACAATTTGAAAAAAATATTCTCAAATAAATTCACAACGAAAAAATATTCTCAAAAAAGTTCACAACGAAATGTAAAGTTTTAATCAAAGATAAATGTAATTTTTAAGGAAGTTTGAAATAATAGAGTGGATTGTTAATTTTGGCTGTAATAATTATTTTAGATTATGAGGTATATGTCAAAAAATAGCAATATAATTAGCACATTAAATAATATTTTTATGAATATCTATATTTATTTGAAAGAAAATAGGATGTTCATCAATATACATTTTTTATATTTAAGAAGAGTTAAAAAATCATTAATTTAATATCAATCAAAGTCCAATGGTATCAAAAAAAACATACTGGATTGTTATTAATGGCCAATACTGTATGTATATATATGTGTGAATGTGTGTGTGTGTCTATATATATATATATATATATATATATATATATATATATATATATATATATATATATATATATATATAAAATATCTTTGTGTTTAAAGTTTCTAAAGATTGAGGTCATAGGAGTAACGTTGCTTACACCTAATTGAAAGTAATGTGTAGTTATTAGTAGAGGTTGTTAAGCAATTAAAGAATGAAAATTTTGTAATTTTTTTTATTTTTATAGAATGCTACGTGAAAAGCTCATGGAACAGGAAAGATTTTCTCTTGCTTTAGAAATAACAAATAAAGCGGGTTTAGACTTAGTACCTGTTTTTTTCAAAATGGGCATGGCAAAGTTAAAATCTGGCTATCTTGAAGCAGCGCGAGAACATTTTTCTCATTGTCTTACTGTATGTGTTCATTAATTTATAAAATTATTTTCTCACTATATTTATGAAGTGATTTGTAAAATTGTTGTTTCACTGTATCTGTTCATTGATTCATAAAATTACTATTTTAAATACTTATGTGTTTGTAAATGTTTTTTTCATATTCTGTCTTGTTAAATTTATTTTTAGTTATAAATTTGTGTGTGTGTATGAGATTGATATTGATACTATTTTTGTTGTTATTGTTGCAAATTTTTTTAAAGGTAACCCAGGGTATCTCAGGAAACTCGTTTTTGCCAAACACTTATTATTTAGAGAAGATTGTGCATTTAATAGAAAGTTCTCCTCTTTTGCTTCATCCATTTCATTTATCTGTAAGTTATATGCTTCTTATTTATTTGGAACTTTAATTTAAAAGTAATAAAATGTTATAAAATAATATTCTAATAATATTTTAAGAGAGACATCACAGCTTCACCTGTAGCCTTTCTTCAAGAACAGAGCAAGGTATGTTTTTTGTTATTATTGGTACCCATAGTCAGGGTTGGGGTCAAATATATTTAATTAAATACAAATTTAAAAACATTAGTTCTAGATACCTAAATATAATTTCAAATACAAACATATGCAATCAATTTTTGCAAATACAAATGCAAATACAAATATTTGTGTTTTACTTTAATAAAAAAGACTTTTAACTTATTTTTTAACTTTAACTTTATATATTAATTAGGTCTTGAATTAATTTTCATTCATTCTATTAAATATCACATTTGTTCTTAATTTTAAGGAAAAATTTGAAGAAAATAGTTCAAATCTTTTTTGCCTAATAAAACTGAGAAAAGATAAATTTGTATTGATACATTACAAGAAAAATATTTATTTGAATTTCTACTAAATAGAAGAATGAAAACAAGTGTTTTAACCTATATCACTTAAAAAATAAATTTTAAATAAAAAAAAAATTTTTTTTAGTGTTAAAATTGAAAAAAAATTATTATTTTTTGTTACAAAAAAAAAAATACAAGTCTCATAGTTTTTTCCAAATAAACACCTATAACCTAGTTTATGGAACTACAAATACAAATACAAGTATAAAAAAAAAAATTATCAAATACAATACATATGACATTATAGCTTTTTATTACCAAATACAAATGCATATATGACCGCAACCCTGTCCATATTTAAATACATTTTTTTATTTATATACATTTGTAGTCATACTTAAAAAAAAAAATTCAATTTTTTTTACCAATTTTAATTTAAAAAAAAAAATCAATTGTTTTACCAATTTTAATGTTTAAACACGATTAGTAATATATTTTTATTATTGTGTTGTTATTTTTTTTTTACTAGAAAATAGTATTGGTAAAAAAAAGTTATTTTTAGTTGTTTGTTTAATATATTTTTTAAATATGATTTCAATAAATATAATTTATTATAATTTAAATAGTTTTCATAATCTATATAAATATTATATAATTTGCATTGAATATTCCTAAATTTTGATTTTATATTTGATTTTATTATTTCTGATTCTTCAAGTGATTTTTTGCAGACAAGGTTTTTTTTAAATGCTTTTTTATTATTGTTTCCCCAAAACTGAGAGGGTCACTATAGTTAAGAGTGTTAATTATGCTTATTTTTTGTAGGTTTTTTTTGCATTGTGAGAAAATATATTTTGTATTATTAATGAAAGATTTTAGAGTTTTATAGGTGATTTTGGTCTTGATAAACCAAGATATGAAGAGATTCTATATTATCTCAATACTTATGGCTCACATGTTCAGACCATAACATTTTTTTTGCGTCATCGTTTGCTGAAAAATGCTGTAATGTTTGTAAAGGATCATGTAAGTTATTCAAAAATTTGTTATCCTAAATATTTTATGTAAGTTACTTAAAAAGTTTTGCTTTGTAGTTTGATTATTGATTATTATTTTTAATAATATTTAGAAATGTTCCCATGAAGTTTTTACAAAACATCTTTTATTGCCTTCCTTTAAAGAAGGATGCTTTGAACAGCTGTTTGAAGAGCTTAGAATGAGTGACTCAATGTTACGTTTCTGGGAAATGTACTTTGCTAACGCATGTAAAGATCTAAGTAGACTAGGCTATTATAATTGCCTTTTAGAGCTTCAAATTGCTATTAAGGTATTTTTTTCATTTTTTATTTAATTTTTTTGCATGGCAACATTATTTGCTAATTATTTAACTTGTTTTTTTGCAATGTAGCTTTTTTCATCAAGTTATGTTTTTCACTGAGTTATAAATATAAGACTTGGACTTGAGTTACAAATTTAAAAATTTTAGACAATTTGAAAAAATAAAATAAAACTTTAAACTTGACTTTGACTTTAATACCAATGACTTGTGACTTGCCTTGAATTTAAGCCAAATCATTTAGAGGGAGAAATTTAGTTGGCATCTTTCAGAATTTGAAGCTTAATTTGTTTACATTCTATTTAAGTCTCCAGCATATGTGCTGTTCAATGTAAACAGTAGAAAGCAAAACATTTAAATTTTAAAGTTTTTAAGTTTGCTTTAACATCTTTTCATTTTTCATTAAGGTGTTAATGTTAAAAGATGAATTTATTCACAATTCTTTTTTATAATTACAGAGTTTATCTTGATTGTTAAAATGATAAAAATAAGTTAATTTTTTTATTAACTTAAATTATGTTTTCATCTTTTATTTCTTGATATTAGTTTTAATTGATAACTTATTATCAATTTTATTTTTTATCTGCATAAACCAACATCCACATTAACTGAGGGTTTTAGTTTGGAAGACAATCTTTTTATTTTTACACTGTGCTGTGCCCACTGCTGGTGATAAAGATTGAAAGAAGAACTACCTTGAAAATGAAGATCTTTTTTCAATATTTTAGCAAGAAACAAAAGAAACTTATAAGCGTTACTCTAGGGCATAGTCACTACCTCAAAATGTACAAAGAGAAAATGCCCTCTTGTTCTGGGGAATAAATACGGAGGCTCTTTCTTCACTGTCTCAAGTAGCTTTAAAGGTCAACTATGAAATTTTATTAAAAAGTAAATTATCTACTAATTTGTATCAGGACTTGACTTAAACGAGTTTCACTTGACTTAAATGCAAAAGCATGATACAAGCTATGATTTGTAAAACAAATTGTTTAGTCATAGTTCTGTTATTTCAAAGTATAGGTTTTAGAGTTTGAACAATTTAACAAAAGATAAGTAGCCATCTTGACTCTAGTAGTCTAATCAGTTTTTGTTAATACAGTGAATACAGTGATTTAAAAAATAATTTTACAGACCGTAACACTGATCCTTACAAGCTAATAATTATGCTTGTAACACTGACCCTTACAAGTTAATAATTAATACCGTCACACTGACAAATACAAGCTAATAATAATGATTGTAACACTGACCCATACAAGTTAATAAATATGACCGTAGCACAGACAATTACAAACTAATATATATGACCGTAACACTGACCCATACAAGCTAATAAATATGACCGTAACACTGACCCTTACAAGCTAAGCCCAATGTTTATAGTTTTTTAGTATGTAAAAATGCTGAATACTCACACACAAATAGTTTTCTAGTATAAATGTACACAACTATTTAATTTTGTTAAAAATTAAATCTCCCGTATTGTTTTTTATTCATCCCTCAGGCCAGGGGTCAGCAAGCTATTTTATGTAGAAAGCCATTTTTCCTTAAATAATTTTAAAAAATCTATAGCCACAAGGATGCTAATTTAACAAACTGTAGATCAGCAAGTTGTTTTTTTTTTTTTATATTCAATGACATTTAAATGTCTAATATATTTATTTTTATATACTGTAAATTAAACAAATGAATAATTAAAGCAAACGATTCAATATAAGTAAGCAAATAAATTAATGAGGCTTTTGTGATTGAATTGATTCACAGGTTCACTTTTTACGTTATGTCCTTAATGTGAGGTCTTTAGTTTTAAAACAACTTCCAAGACTAACATCATTGAGAAAGATATCAAGTTTTTAATGATGTTTTTGAAGTAAAAATCTGCTAATAAAAATATGCAGATCCAAAAAGTCCATATGCCACCAGATTAAGTTGTTTGTAGCTCTCAGAAATATGCAGTATTGCCTCATCCTTGCAACTTTTGATTGAGATTTTTAAGATGAGCTGTCATAGCAAAATAGAATATTTGTAACCAATTAACATTGTTTAAAATGTTTTGAAATGTTTTTAAAACATTTTTGTTCTTAAAGGTTTTTAAATATACTTTTTAAATATGATTTTTTTAAAAAAATTTAATACAATGACCAAAATAATAAAGAACAGCCCCCGCTTCTCTTTAGATATCTAATGAACTTTATAATACAACAAAAGATCAGATAATCTTTCATTAATTATGACAAATAAACAATGTTTGCTTTTGAGGCAGTTTTGTTGACTATTTTTAGGCTCTATATATTTTTCAGGCTTTATAGATCTCCATTATGTTAATTCATGAACAACCTACATCCCACTATTAAATTAACCACTCAGATACCTTAACTGACTTTATGGTTCCATTATAATAATTCCATCATATAAATAAATTCCTTTTATTGGTAATTTAGGCTGTCACTGTTTGTGTGACATAATTTAGCAATTTCATTTTTCAAAAAGATTATGAATTTTTAACGTCTAGCTCATAAGGGGGTTAGTATTATGTTGATTGGAGACGACTACTTTGTTGTCCTGACTACTTTCAACACACAACAGTCATCACCAACATATTTGCCTTAAAAATACATTCAATTTCATCTTTCATTTTAACATCTGATTCTAGATTCAGAAGTCAAGCTGGATGAAGGATACATAATATTAAGTAAATTATTTGAATTAAAAAACTATTATTAATAAAAACTAATTATTTTATAGGATTATTTTCGAGCTGCATTAACTTGTGTTAGGTTTTATTTGGGAACTAACGGCCAACCACCTTGCTCATTTGGTGACCTTATTTCTAGAAAAAAACATTTATTAAATGCTTCCAAATACTTAGAAGTTGTTATAAAGGATAGAAGCAGTGGTTTTGTCTGCCATATTGGTGCTTCATTTTTAGGAGATGAAAAATTGCATGCTAATAGAGAAATATCTATAAGTGAGATGAAGCGATATTTAATCACTGTAAATATGCAAATGGAGGTTACAGAGTTCATGTATAATTTGGAAGTGACTGGAGGAAAATATGAAGGAAAACCTATACCTACATTGTTTGGAAATGGTAAAGAGAGATCAGAATTAGCTGTGAAAGTAAGTGATTTTTGTTTTAGAGCATTTGGATTAAGCTTTATTATATTTTTTACATAAATTTTTTAATTAAAACAATAAATCTTTTTTTTACTTTACTGATAACTCCTAAAAGATATTTACTTATGTACATTTAACATAAAAATATCATTACAATTACTTATGTACATTTAACATAAAATGCTTACATAAAAATATCTATACAATTAAAACATAAAAACAAATAAAAAATTTTAATAATGATATAATAATGTAATTTAAGCATGGGTAAAGAGTGGATTTAAAATGATTTGCAATTATGGATTGGAGTTGATGAATTTTTTAAGTCAATCTTTATAAGTTTAACAGTTATATGAAAAAAAATTTAACAATAATATGTGATTTTTGCTCAATTGTGGCTATTTGGTTCATTATTTGCAAATATAAAAAAGTTTCCACTGCGATAATAGTTTTTAAAGTAAATATCTTTTTTTTAAATGACAATAACAAATGACATTTAAATTTTCTGTTTTAATTATAATACAAACACAATTAAACTAATTTCATTTAAACACCTTTGAGTATTTTACTGCAATTAAATTGAAATTAGAATTTTATTTATTAACTTTTATTAAAAATTTTGGCAGGGTTTATTGAAAGAAATTTTGGTTTATTGTTTGTTGAAATTTTAGTTTATTGTTTATTGAAAGAAATTTTGGCTAAAGTGTTACTATAAATGTTAAGTGTTACTATAAACGTTAAGTGTTGCCATAAACATTGTTACTATAAAATTTAAGTGTTACTATAAACATTCAATATTGCTATAAACATTAAGTATTGCTATAAATGTTAAGTGTTACTATAAACATTAAGTGTTATTATAAACGTTAAGTGTTACTATAAACGTTAAGTGTTACTATAAATGTTAAGTGTTGCTATAAGCGTTAAGTGTTGCTATAAACAATAAGTGTTGCTATAAATGTTAAGTGTTGCTATAAACATTAAGTGTTGCTATAAACATTAAGTGTTACTATAAACATTAAATGTTACTATAAACGTTAAGTGTTACTATAAACGTTAAGTGTTGCTATAAATGTTAAGTGTTGCTATAAATGTTAAGTGTTGCTATAAATGTTAAGTGTTACTATAAGTGCTAAGTTTTTCAAGTGATATAACTAGTTTATTCCATCAGATGACATCATAAACTAGTTGTTAGTGCTGAGCCTCTTCAAAATGATATTGATATACGCGATTTGAAAAGTTTCCTATTTCACAAGTTATGTTTAAATAATCATTAATTTTTTTTTTCTTACATCCCATATCATTTTAAAAAAGTTTTGCTTTGCTATTGATTTTTATAATATATGTTTTGGTGCCAGAATTTTTAATAAATTCCATTTAATATATGTTTTGTTTTGCTAAGACTAGTTTTGTAAAAATAACCTTTTATGTCAAGTTTCGAATCAAACTTTCTAACTTTACTAGCTTAACTTTAATACAAGCACTTTATTTAGCTTTTCTTTAGGATATGAATTTTTTATAAGACCTTTGCTTAGACATGTGAGCTTAAAACTATAAAAACAACTTTTAAAACATGTCAAGCAGTTAATCAAATTAAAGCATGAGCCGTGTGTCTTTTTTTATGAGGTTTAAAAAATAGGTTCTAAGCATCTTATTTAATTCTTATTTTGATTACTAAAATGTTTTCGTTATAAAATTTGCTCTTTTTTATTATTTTTTAAGTTAATGTTATTATTTAATTTACAATATCTGCCAAAAAACTGTACATAGTCATTTTTTTTCTAGTTTTTTCCAGGAGTTTTTAAAAACTAAAATTATTAAGTTTTTGATTTTATTTAGATATTAGAAAGCTCTTCGCTTAATGGATTGTCACTTGTGTCTCGAATAATACAGGTGATTATTGAAAAAAAAATTGTTTTTTTCATTATTATTCTTTTGTTATAAACTTTTTTGATATAAGATTAAATTCATTGATTCTATGCAAACGGAAACCTTCTAATAATTGGTAATTGGTGAAAGTGGATTTGTACTTAAGTGAGCCAATTCTGTTGTGGTCTTTGACCCAAAATGATAGCTTCATTTTAGCTGGCGTAAGTGTGGTAAGTTTCAGACCAAGTCATGAAAGACATTTCAGTGTCTTTCATAACATATTTGATTAGTTGCATTTTATTATGAATCAATAGAGTGCTTGTGACAAATATTGATTGTAGATATTTAGATTTTGTTAATTAAAATTTAGATTTTTGTTAATTAAAATTTTATTTAGTATTAGATTAAGTGGCTTTTGGCAGAATTTTTTTTGAGGAGGTTGACAAAACTCAGGTAGTAATTTGGCAACCTTTGTTAAAATAATTTGTAATTTATGAAGTAGTGTTGTTGACAGTAGGATGTCTTTGGATGTTGTTTACATTTATTGAATTTGTTTAATCAACATTTCAAAGCAAGTTTGTCCTAATAACAAATTAGTATTTATCTGTATTGCCTACAGTCTCAAATGCTTTGTTGGCTTCTTGTCTTTTTATAAGCAGTTCTTGTTATTTGAATTGTTTTGACTTTTTAGAGTTAGCTTAATATGCTTTATTTTTACAATGCGAATTTGAATTGCTGCTATTAATTTATTTTTAAGTTTTTAACTTTTGTTAGGGCTGCTTGGAATGTATATAATAATGTTTTTTGCTTTGAACCTAAAGCAATAACTGCTTCACACAACTTTGCGTAAGCAGATAGTGGGAGCCAGAAGTTTACCCACTCAAAACACTAGTTTTCTTACTGAATATTACAAATAAATTGTGTTGATTATAGGAATTTAAGTTACCGGCTGCTGCAATATTCCGACATTCTATTTCAAAATTAGTGCAAAAAATGCAATTAGAACAAGCTAATTCAATCCTCCAAAATATTGAGCAAAATGGTATGGTCACACAGCAAGAAAAAGATGAAATATTGATGCAAGTTGTGAATGTTATTTCAGCCAGTGACCAGGTACTTTCTTTATTTATCTTCAAAAATATTTTGTAGTTCAATTCTTTATTTCCCATGACTAAAAAGTATGAAAAAACTTTTTTAGAATTTTATAAAATTATTTGGAACTTTATCAAAAGTAAAATGTTAAGTAAAATTGTAACATGAAATTAAAATTTTTTGAAACCTAAACTAAACCTCATCAGTATAAAATTAATTTCATTTAGTTAAAAAACGCAAACCATTTTTTAAAACAAATTAAAGATGATGTGAAAAAGGTAAGCTGTAATGGCATATAAAGTTTTATCTTTAAATATTTTTGCCTATTATAAAGTTTATTATTAAATGTTTATTGTTTCATGAATGTTATCACATAGGTAATGGCTCAAATAATTTTTTACAATTGTAATTTTTTTCTTTTTGTTCATTGTTTTTATTATCACTGGTTTTTACAGTTACTAAATGTGTTTTTAGCATTTGTTTTTTCTTAATGTTTGTTAGTTACATGTAATATTTGATTGGTTGCCAAAAAAAAATTAGTATACGAACTTAAGTTTAGGTGTTACCTATACTAGAGTGCAAAATAAATGCCTCCCCCCCCCCCTCTTCTTCTCTTTTTAACCATTAGCTTATTGGTTTTGTCCAAACTAAATTATATTGATGTCACTGTCATTTCTATTTACTTTTATGGACTTAATTTTTTAATGTGTCAGCACAACAAACTTTGATGTGTTGCAAATTTACTACTCCTTGCCCTTCTGTGCTATAAATTTTGTTGAGGCTTCTTCACTTACAAAATAAAGCAGATTAAGAGACAATGTCAGTAAAAATAAACTATAAATAATCCCAAAATAATAATGATTTAGTGATAATGATTTTTTTTTATCGTAGCAGCTTTATATTTGTGGGTTGTTGTTATTGCCTAGTTGTTGTTTTAGTTTTGTTTTGTTTTACAAAGCTGTTACACAGAGGAAAGTGACTATATTACAGCCACACCTTTACAATATTTTTCTTAAATTATGTTAACAAATTTTTTTCTAAAATCAAACAGGCTTTTATGACAATCATACACTGCTAAAAAGATTAAATTTTCAGTTTTAGAAAAATTACTTTAGCCATTTTTATAAATGACAATTTATTAGAAAAATACAGATAATAAAAGGTACAAATTTGACCAATTTTTTTTTTTTTAACATCACTTAAAACAAAGCTGCAAGCAACCAATAATTAGAGTTGAAAGTTACTGGAAGAGAAAAGATGACGATTGTAGAGCGAGATAACATTTGACAGACAACTTAAAAGATTGCAAATTATTTGAATCAAGAAAGTAAGATGAAGGAAGCGAATTCCAAAGAACTGATGTTTGAGGAAAAAAACTAAAGGAGTAAGAGTTTTTGGAGCACTTAGGAACAGTAACAGTTTAAATCTGAGACTTAATTGAATGACGAGTAAAGCAAGAATGAATTTTATAGATGGCTAGTAGAATTAAAGCCTCTATGACCAAAATTAACCCAGGTAATGTGATATAAATCTAATTCCAGCCAGTATAAAAAACAGTTCCTCTGACGATACGCTTTATAAAATACAATCACAATAAGCATTCATAAAAAAATAAACTTGCTGATAAAAGTTTAAACTTAACTTGTATATTTTCAGGGTCTTGCACCCTTTTGGCTATAATTAAGATCAAAAAAATGTAAACTTTTTAGTAGCAAATGTATACTGGTTGGTAGCAAATAATCTGTTGTCTTATAATACAAATAAAAATAAAAACACAGAACTAACATTTGATTGAACATCAGGTTGAACAATTTCAATCAAAATCTATTGTGTCAATATAATAGTCAAATATTAAATCCCTTTAAACATCAGTCTAAGGATATTTATATAAAGCATAACATTTATATTTATAATAAAAGTATTCTAATTGATATACAAATTAATCTATAGACATTTATACACTAATAAGATAATAATACAGATTTGTTGACCAGCCTCCCATCCCTTCATCTATTAAACTGGCATAGATCTATTTATAATACATTGTTTCCAGTTTAGGATAAAATATCAGAGTACTAATAGTTGCATGTTGCGCATGGAAGATGTCCCTGTTTGTGCCTTTGGTGTACATTGTCAAGCCCTTTGTTATGGTTTAGGGTTTATTAATAGAAATGAGGCCATTGCTTAGACTATTAGATTGTATACTGAGTACTATTTGTGCTTTGAGTCAAGTTCATTAACAAATTTAAAAATGGCTAAAGTACCAAAAACTACACAAAAAAAAAACAAGTGTTTTCAGAAGTTGAGTCTTATCTCTTTGCAAGAGATGACTCAACTTCTGTTGAGTCTTATCTCTTGCAAAGTTCACCAGACCTACTTGCTCTTTGTGAGACTAATTTGAGTTCAGCTGTCTCATCTTGTGATCTTAGTGTTGATGGTTATCTTCCTTTATTTCGAAAAGACTCCAATAGTCACATGCATGACCTAAGCATTTACATTCATAAGAATTCACCCATATGTCGGGAAACTAGGTTTGAATCCACCGACTATTCTTTTATGTGCTTTCATTTAGCACCACATCACTCAATCGTCTTTCTCTTTGTTCTATATTGCTTTTCTTTATCTCAAGACTGCATTCTTTTTGAATTTTTTTCTGATCTAATTGACCAAGCCTTCTCTCTTTATTCTTAAGCCAATATCATTGTTGTTGGTGACTTTATTGCTCATCACAATGAATGGCTTGGCTCTAGTGTCAGTGACTCTGCACGCGTTAAGGCCCGTAACTTTTACATTTTTTAATCTTTAACTCAAATGATCAACTTTCCAATTCGCTTTCGGGATAATCCGACTTATTTATCTTCTATACTCAACTTATATCTTGTTTTTGATCCTAGTCAGTGCTCAGTCTCCACATTCACCTTAGTTGCTTCTGATCATGGTTTGATCTCTCTAAAACTATTGTCTTATTCTTCTTCATCATCAGAAAACCTGCTTAGACTCTTCTACAGCTTGTGGTCTGGACAACATACCTTTTATATTCTTGCAGAAGTGTTCATTAGAGCTGTTGTCTATACTTTCAAAACTATTTAACAAGTGCTTATCAAAGTTTTGCTTTCCAGCCTGCTAAAAAGCAGCATCTGTTATTCCTGTTTTCCCTGTTTTCAAAAATTCTCTTAATAATTTTTTAATTTCAAAAATACTCTTTTTAATTTACATAAATGATCTTCCAGAAATTCTCACATCTAAGGTTGCATTATTCATTGATGATACTATCATTTATTCTTGTCTTGATAAGAAACCAACACTCTCTGATTGCTTGTAGGGGGCATTTGAGCTTAATCTCACTTCTGAGAACAGCATGGAATTCTCAGTGGCTGATGAACCTTAACTCAGTGCCTGATGAACCTTAAGTGGCTGATGAACCTTAACTTAACTAAAGATAAAACTCAATCTTTTTCAGTTAATCATTATCGCAACAATCTAGATCTTCCTATATTTATAAGCAGTAATGTAGTCAATGAGTCATCTAGCCTTCATCTTCTTGGATTAATTCTTACTTTAGATCTTTCTTGGAAACCATATATCAAATCGCTTGCAAAATTAGCATCTTTATTGTGCTTGCCACTTTCTTACTCCTGATTCTATTCTTTAATTCTATAAATTTCAAATCCATCCTTGCATTGAATACTGTTACCATATCTGGGGTGGATCTTTCAATGATGTCTTTTCCTATTTTAGACAAGGTGCAAAAACACATTGTAAACATAGTTAGATCTGCCCTTGCAGCCAACCTCCAGCCATTGTCACATTGTCATAATATTGCTTCCCATTCTCTTTTCTATAAATACTATTATGGGCACTGCTCTAAAGAACTAGCATCTCTTGTGTTATCTATTAAAATTCATTCTGGTGTTTTTCTTCATCCAATTAAGTCTCATCATTTTACTGTGGCTGTTCCTCAGTGCTTCAAAAGTTCTTAATCATTTAGTTTTTCTACTCGAACATCAGTTATTTGGAATTCACTTCCTTCATCCTTTAAGTCGTTTGTCAATCTTTATCTTGCTTTATAAACTTCATCTTTTCTTTTCCAGTATCTTCCTATTCTAATAGTGGTTACTTGCAACCTTTTTGGATGTGAATATTAGGGATATTCACCTTGTCACTCATGTTGGAATTTTAATACACAGTATGTCTAAAAATAGTATTAGGGTATCATATTATTTGGACAGAATTTTTTTTTTCGTGTTTGCATCACGGCTAGTATTGGCGCCAACTGTTTTAAATTTTGTAATTAAATAGGGCATTTTCAAGCAACTTGTGCTAATAGAATCCATCAACCAAGATGAAAAATAAACCTCATACCGTAGCCAGATAAACTTCATTAATAAATAAAGAATTAGTATATATGAATTATTTAAGTTATATTTTATTATTTCCAAAAAGCAAAAAAATCATAAAACAGCAAATCATGAGATTGACAAATTTTTAAAAATGACTAAAAAAATGACTAAGTTTTTTTTTTTTGATTGGTTCTTATTCTCTTATAGCAACAAATTAACTTTTTTTTTTTTATTTTCACTAAATCCAACTTCGGTTTTTTACAATTATTTACGTAAATTTATAAAAACAATCCTCAAATATACCATAAAAATTGTCATTAGAAAAAAATAATCCTCAAATATACCATAAAAATTATCATTAAAAAACCCCTTAACATATTAACAAATTTATTAATTGAAATCACCATAAAATGTTTCAGAGCTTTCTTCTTTCTTTCTTTGTGTAACTAGTGTAACTATGCAATTGATATCAATTGCCGTCATTTAAAAAAAAAGTGAATGGATAAACTTTTAATTTAAAAAATATTTTAGTTTTTCAATTTATGGTCTAAATATTAATTAAGTTTTTAAATTTAATTAGGTGTTTCTTAATCAATTAGGTTTATTATTATTGTTATTAATTGTTATATTATTTTGTTTATATTATATGTTTATTATATTATTATTAAATAATTATATTAATTAAATAGGTTTTTAAAATAAGATAAAATGGAGCAAAATTAATAATCCCAAAATCTTTCTGTCAGATAAAACGAAAAATGACAACAAAGGTATTGAAAAAATGTCCCTAGGTTCAGAGCTGACGATTCCAGTAAAAAAACATGTAATAGGAAAAAAAGAAAGAAACCAAATATTCCTAAATGATCTACTCGTAGAGCAAAGTTCCTTGTAGGGGCTACCTTCAAAAAGATGAATAGAAACCAGCTTCCGCTGAGGAAGCGCATTATCCAACATTACTAAGAGAAAGATTTCTAAAGATGGTGCTGAAATGTTTAATTGCTTGTCTGCTTGTATACAAAACATTCAGGTCAGTCTTTTTTTTTCCTCATCATAAGTGAGAATTTTTAACAATATATAAATAACGTCAAAAATATTTTTGGCTTACATCAAATAAAATGTCTTTAATGTATTTATACTCACTCCAACCAGAGAATGTTTGAAGAGTATTTATATAATATTATTCAAAAAATGATTTTCATTTATATTATCATGCATTGAAGATATAGCTATACAGTTTTTTTTATAGGATTATTTTGGGTGGGTGATGGAAATTTTTCACAGAAGTTTGCAGTCTCATAGATGCATACTGATATTGGACAAGGAAGAAGATTTACTTTTTATTCAGGACCAGATGGAAAGCCGAAAAATGGTGATAGGAGAACTTGATGGTCATTTTAAGCAGGTCAGTCCGAGAGCAAAATTAAGAGAAAGCCAGGAAATCTCTTCTGTACTGGCAGAAACAGAAATATCGGTAATTTCTTTAACTGAAAATAAAGTTAGTTTTGATGATTGTGAACTTGAGTGTACTGATCAAAGTTTTGATGATGAGGATTTTGAGATAACTCGACCCAAAAGGAAGAAATCTGCTAAAGATCAGGTACTCATATTCCCTAGAGATATTGTGTCAAAAACTGCTAGAACTGCAATTGGAATGGGAATCTCCAATTGCAGTTCTAGAAGTTACAATCAAGCAAATGCACTTGTAAGTTCTGTCGTTACCAGTGCTGTTGGAAATATTGATAGTATTACATTATCCCTCAACTCCGGTCACAGAATATCTAACAAAATCATACGAGAGGATGTAGCTATTCTGAGAGGTAATATAAGTAAAATGTTACTAACACTAATGCACCAGTAATTTTACATTTTGATGGGAAAATCATTAAAGATTTTACAGGTGCAACAGATGAGACAAAAGGCCATCTGTGTGTCCTTTTAAGATTTAACAATAGTAACCTAATAGTTTAATAATAATCCATCTTCTTGGTGTGCCAGGATTGGACCATGGAACAGGAGAAGAACAATTTTTAGCTATACAGAAGTTACTTGATTCTTTTCAAATTAGTCGGCTCCTTCATGGGCTAAGCTTTGACACTACTGCTTCAAACACTGGTCGTCTTAAAGGAGTCTGCACAAGGTTGGCTAAGTTTCATGGCCGGAAGTTACTTATGATGGCTTGCAGACATCATGTAGGTAAAATTCACATCAAGCATTGTTCTGATGCTGTGGCAATTCACAAAACTGTTGGTCCCCAGAACCCATTGTTTAAATCACTGAAGCAGTATTGGCAAGAGGTTGATGGGAATCAAGTAAAGGAGTTAGTCAAATTCATCCACCAAAAGTTTTCAAGCACCTCAAGGACCAAGGTATATTGAGAAACACTGAGATAAGTTAAAAAAATTAAATTTTTAAATATTAAAAACAAACAATAGCTTTTTGTACATCTATACTATTGTTTCTAAAAAAATTTTATTTCTATTTTTTAATTAGACGTTGGATAAATGTGGTGAATACTGCAAATTAGCTGAGCTTGTAATTATGTATCTTGATAAAGATTAGGCTACCAGGTATAGCATTTACAAAATTGGAGCCATCTCACATGCAAAATTTATGGGCAAGGCTCTTTATTTCATGAAGTTTGAGTTACTGCTACCAATGATCAGACTGATCATTAATCTGAGTGAAGACATTATCAAAGAGATTAATAGGATGGCTGAGTATATTGCACTGTTCTGGGCTCCATGGTTCTTGACATGCAAGTTTGCATATTTTGCTGTCTTTCAGGTTTGGTATATAAACTAACTTCTTAAATTACAATAATAGTTAAAATGTTAATAATTTGAATAACAACACCTAAATTTTCTATAGGATCAGATGAACTACTGGCAGATGTGCCACTATGCTAAATTTGAGCCAAAGTTGTTGTCAAATCATGGGAAAATCATACCTGATACCTAGATCCATCTACAGTTATAATGTTGCGAGCCTCTTCCGACAGTAACCATTACAAGGACATGGAAAAAATGGCGAAATTTCTATACTTAACCCAGAGAGATGACCATAACAATAATGAAGTTATGAGAGTCAGCAGTTCTTCCAGATGTTACCAGTGTTTTTCAGCATAACGATCATCCCCCATCTCTAGCTTCTTATGTTTCTACTAATTCATGGTTAATCTTCACCATTCTAGGGCATAATATGGAAAAATGTATCTGAATAAAACTTCAACATCTTTTGAAAGAATTTCTAGGTTATCTTGAGTTCCAAAATTTTGTTAAATCTGTTGACATGGTCAACGATTCGTCTGAAAGAGCTGTAAAACTTATCCAAGATAATGTTGAGCGCATCAAGAGTGAACGAAAGCTGCAGAACCTACTCCAACTAAAAAATGCTTGGATAAAACCAGGAAAAAAGAAAAAAAATGAGTTCAAGGAGTCAGCTACAGCCGTTGCTCCAACATTAATCACAGACATATTTTGCTCTATATCCTCTTACTCTTGTAGAACTACCCAGTAATAAGACTTAGTAATAATACCCAGTAATAAGTCTTAGTAATAATACCCAGTAATAAGTCTTAGTAATAATACCCAGTAATAAGTCTTAGTAATAATACCCAGTAATAAGTCTTAGTAATAATACCCAGTAATAAGTCTTAGTAATAATACCCAGTAATAAGTCTTAGTAATAATACCCAGTAATAAGGCTACCAATTAAACGATTTCTCAGCTAATTTTTATTGCACTCCAGCTTGTCCTTCGCCAGTCAACAGCGGCGAAGCGTTTTTGGAACTGGAGGGTCATGTCTAAGCTTATAATTGTTATTTATCATAATTTCTTTAATTATTAGGAGATTTTTTGTTTCTACTTTTACACAGTGGGGTCATGACTCCTTGCTCTCCCAGTTGCCAATTCAACATAAAGCAAAGGAGCCCAAGGCAACAACAACACGCTCGAAAAATCATAATTTTAAAATTCTGGAATCGCCATTTTCTTTTGTCCTCTACTAGTTCTCCGTGCCCTTCCCCCCCCCCCCTCACAACCCACCCAAAACATCAATTCACTGCAGCAGCAGGGGGGGAGGGGTCCATGCTACCGGCCTCACTGCACCTCTTTGTAAACTCCGAATCTTAGAAGTGGAATTTAGATAGAAAACTTTTTAGAAGCAATGGAAATAAATGCGTTTATTATTTTTACACTCTGTTTAATTAAAACATTATATTATAGTGATTTTTAAGGTTTTGTTTTAACAAGATAGGTCCATTATATATAAGAAACTGTAACATACTAACTCTTGTTTGTTAGTTAAGACTATAACATACAAATTAAAATTTTGTTAAATAAATTAGAATAAGGATACTATTTGCGCCAATCGTCAAAACTTGGTATAAAATTGGTCAAAAATAATAAAAAACAAAACTTTTGACCTGTGGCGCTAATACTTCCAGTCATTTTCCCATTAAATTTTTTTCTTTTTATATAATTATGACCTCTGCGCCACTTTTTTGAAATACTGTGTATTAGAATTTCAACATGACCGACAAAGTGGATATCCCTAGTGAATATGTTGGAAAAAAAAGTTTTCTAGTCTTTACAAATTTTGCTTTTCTTTTTTCTCTTTTTGAGCTTTTCCTTGTAATCTTCTTTAATTATGACTTCTTAGAAGTAAGTTTAAAGAGAGGACTTTGCTTGCTTGTTGCAATTATTTTAACTATTTGAAACGCATTTAGACGATTAGAATATTTCTCAAGGAAATAGATGAAAACACACTTAGATGATTAGAATATTTCTCAAGGGAATCAAAGAAAAATAACGACAACTACCAGTATATAATTTTTTTTTTTACTTTTACTTATTAAGTAGAGAATATTATAACTTTGAGTGAAAAAAAAACGTGTTTTTTAGGAAATTTATTGACTTAAACTTTATAAAGGTTCTAGCTCTTTTGATTGATAACCAAATTAAGTTTATAATTATTATATGTTTTATAAATTTTATAAATTTTATAAATTTTATTTAAAACAATTTGAAGCAAACCGACTAAGCAAAATCCCAAAGATGTTTAAAAAGAGACTTTTTAAAAGTTTTAAATTCTGTACAAACAAAAAAACTTTAAGAAATTTTTTTAAAACACAAGCAGAAAACAAATATAAGTTTTCATTTTATTTTGTTTAAAATCAAATTTATAGATTCTCAAAGGTGAGATTTTTATAAAAATTATCGATTTAAGTTTTACTAATTCGCCTTAACTATGTTGAGCAAAACAAAAACTAAATTTAAAATAAAAAGTTTGATATGGAATTCGGTCACTGACCACTTAATTATGCTTTTTTATATTTATCAGATAAGAGCCTTAATTTTGTGCGGACGCTTAAAAGATGCTTATTTGGAAGCCGTAAAAAAAGATTTGGTTTTTGAAATCCAAAATATACTTGATAACGCAAAAAAAGCACCAAACCAAAAGAATATGGTAGAAATTTGCGAAAAATGGCTAAAAGCTTATCAAGAGAAAAAAGAAAAACGTTTCAACGAAACTACAGGATTATCAAAAAAGAAATAATATCAGATCAGCAACAACAAAAAAAAAGAACAAATCAAATAACGAATGAGTTAAAAAAATTTTACTATTTATTTTACGATTTTCTTGATAAACATTTTGTATAAGCATAAATAATCTTATTTTTTTTATTTCTTGATTGTATATTTTTTAATCGCCCGTGTAAATTATACATATATAAATATATATATATATATATATATATATATATATATATATATATATATATATATATATATATATATATATATATATATATATATATATATATATATATATATATATATATATATATATATATGTATATGTATGTACATATATATATATGTAAATTATACATATATAAATATATATATATATATATATATATATATATATATATATATATATATATATATATATATATATGTATATGTATGTACATATATATATATATATATATATATATATATATATATATATATATGTACATACATATACATATATAATTTATAATCACAAATGCTATAAAGTATGATATTTTGAATATTATTTTATATCATGTTTTGTATTCAATTTGCTGTTCTTAATTAGTAGTTTTTTACCGTGAGCGTATGGCAGCGTGGGGGACTACCAGTTTGGTTTGAAGAATGTTATAATGGGTGGGTGACGAAAGTGTGATCGCCAACTTTCTTCGATTTTTTAAAATAGTTTTGTTTTGAATATCTATATATTTAATACAGCATGTTGTTTGAAAAAAAAAGAAGTAAGTTAGGCCTAATAGCATGGCTGTTTAGAATTGATATATAATTTTATTAAAATTTTAAATCTGATTGTTGGGATATTAATATATTGCGTCATTTTATAGTTTCATTATTTTCGAATTATACCAAGTCTCTGAAAAAGACATGACTTCCCGTGCAATTTAAAATACTTAAAAATTCTATCAACTTTTTAATATATTGTTGCATGCTTTTAGATTTTACGCGTAAAAAAAAATAATTACTTTAAAGTCAAAAGATTTAAAAAATGATGCGTTAAGAAGAAATATTAAAGTTTTTGTTAGATAAGTTATCGATAATATTCTTCTGAAGAGGGTCGAAGCTTAAACTTTCAAAATCCTAATTGCATAAATATATTACCATGACCGGATAGTAGAGCAGAATAGTTTCAATTTGTCTATTTAGCAAAGACAAAAATTTGCATGTTAAAAGATATTTTAATGGTAATGTATGACTGCTCCTTCTAATGTACTTGTTTTGGTAACAAAAAATTGGCCCTCGACTCTATAGAACCCATTAGACGTCACTCTTTTATTTAATTGATATATAGAACCCATCATAGAACCTATTAGACGTAACTCTTTTATTTAATTGATAACTCGCTTGCGCGAGCAAACTATCTTTTCTGATAATTTTTCTTGATAACTTGATTGCGCGAGTTAATTTTATTTGTTTTTAGTGTTAAAACCGCAATATGTTTAAAATTCCCGCTTTTAACGGAAACTTTTCAATTTTATGTGGGTAGTTATTTTTTAGAAATGAGTAGATACCTAGCCCTTATATAATTGGTAAATTCGAACTTTTTTTTTAACTTATCAAAATTTTATATTTAAGAGAAGAATTGCAAAAACCATAAAAGAGTATTCTCTTAAAAGTGAATTTACATTAAGGATTCGAAGTTTTAAAAATAAGGCAACTTTAATTACTAAATTTGCTGCTTCTATTTCTTTCTACAACATGTAAGTACATTGTGGATATTTATTTTAAGGTTTTAAAAGAGGTGCAAATAAATTTAATGATACAAAATGATGAAAACGCATCAATGTAACCATTCTAGATTAGACCCGGAATTAAAAGAATTTTAAAAAACCAGTGCTAGCACTGGTTTTTTAGCACTGGTTAATAATAGCATGCTATTATTAAGCCCTCTAGTTTATTCCGTATTTTACACCTCTAGGATGACTCAGTGATACATTGGCAATTTTTTGAAACAACTTTATCGATTTCTTATATATTTTCTTTCTAGCATATATATATTTTCTATTCTTATATATTTTCTTTCTAGCTTAATCTGATAATATTAATACGCTAATTTAATAGCAGTAGTTAATAATCGACTTAGTTAATAGTCGTAATAGTTAATAGTCGATATACGTCATTTTCTAGGCTTTTCTATTTTAAAGTAGTTTCTAGGCTTTTCTATACGCGGGTTTTTTTTTTAATTTTATTTACTAACAACCCATATTACGGTTGCTTATTGCTAGTATGAATGAATCTTTTTCTAATAACTCAAATAAATCGTTAAATAGTACCCCCTGTTTCTTAACAAACGCTACTTAATTAAAAAGTGAGAGTTAGAAACTTACAAACGTGTCAATTCCTCTCCTCCAAATAATAATTTAATCACAGAAATATGGACTAATCCCCAGAAAATTCAGTTACTGAAAATCAAAAAATTCTCACTTCACCTTATTTTTATGACCACCCTCCCTGTTTACTTTGAATTTTATGACTGAGTCAAATTTTTAAAATTATGTATGTTAAAAATCCTTACTAAATTTGGGTCATTATTTTTTCTATAAAAAATATCCATAAATTTAAATTAAATTGAAACTATACCTATATTTCATTTTTGATATCGGAACACAAACAGTACAGTCAAATTTCTATTTATTGAGTATAAACTCAATTTAGAATATATGCTGATGGTCCACCTCCACAGTATGAAATAGGTTGAAAGAGTATTTAGTCCGGTCAAAATAGTCGAAAAAATAGTGGTAGGTTTGCAATAATAGAGCTGAAAATTGGAACTGACGTTGGGGACATTATTAAAAGTAAAATATAAAAAGTCTCCAGTGCATCATACTATTTACATAAATATAAATAGTGCATTTTACTATTTACAGAAAAGTTTACGTGGCTTTATCTTGGCTTAATAATATTATTATCGTGGCTTTATAAGAACAAGAAACTATTGCAAAGTTTTAGGGGGTTTTAATTATTGTTTAGCCGTTCTATAATAAATTACATCTAACTAAAATTAAGTTTTTGTAATTGTGAAATGTTAAAAAAAATTAAGAGTATTAATTAAGTAAAATATTTATTTAATAATTTTTAACAAAATAATTTTGTTAATGCTATTTAATATTTTTAAAGCTATTTTTATGACTCCTTTTATGAAAAATAATTAACTACTCTTTTGCATGATTTTTTTAACTAAATTTTCACTTTATACCAAATTACGCGCGTTCAGATTGTCTTAAACGATATTTTGGCTTTTGCAGTTAATACGTTTGGTTATTGTTAAATATTTCTCATAAGGATTTGTACTATTTAAAACTTTTTTAAAAATGTCGCAACCATGTTTTATTTGTAGTAAACATTTATCAACAAGTAAAACAGATGTCGTTGATCGAGGAACGAAGACTTTAATTGATTCTAGTATCGATAGAAATGACGGGCTCCTTGAGTACCGAAAAGGTCAGAAGTCTGTGACAATTCATGTGACGTGCCATAAAGTGTATACTCGGAAGAGTTCTATTGCGGCATTTAAAAGACAGCAACATATGGATCAAACCAGTACATCCAAAACTAGTCTACCTCGTACCAGAGCTCGCGTGAGTGAATCCAATTTTTGTTTCAAAAAATATTGTTTTTTTTTTGCGGCAATGAAGCGAATGAAGAGGTTGAATAAAAGAAAGCACAAATTGTTCGGCGTAAAATTTATAAAGTTGTTACTCTTGAATTCAAAGAATCGATTCTAAAGGTTGGTCGGAATCGGTCTGATGACGTAGAAAAAATGTTACTGCACGCATTCAGTATGAATATGATTTAGTTGCTGCTGAGGCTAGGTACCATAATAGTTGTTATTACTCCTTTTTGAGACCAACCACCGAAGGTCAAATTGGTCGTTCTCAAGATGAATATACCAATGATTCGATAGAGGAAATATTTAGATACATTGAAAATAGCGACGATTGTCAGTTTTTATGGAAGAATTAAAAAGTATTTGCGAAAATCTAGATTTAGACAACAGAACTGTTAAGAAACGATTAATATTGAAGTTTGGCAATAAAATTATTACTGAAAAACCAGGCAGATTAACTTTCATTTGTTTTTTTGATAGTCATTGCGATATTTTTAACCAAGCATGGTATGAGAAAAAAAGCCAAAATAAAGAGGTTCTTAAGAAGATTTCGAATCTTAAAAACTGCGGCAACCATCATTTGAGAAGACATTCAATCATTAGTCTTTGATAATACCAATTATCCCTGGCCTAGTTGAATGTTTAAAGATATAACCAGCCATTTTCCGGAGTCGTTGACTTTTTTTTTGAAGCAAGTAATTCTTAAAAATAAACGATCTAAATTAGAACATTTAAAATTAGTCTGTACAAGTAACAGGTACAGTATTATGTCTGCTCTTAGGCCTAGATATTTCAAATCAAAATTACAATTAGGTCTCTCACTATTTCTTCATTGACGGTTTGGTTCAAAACGCCTTATACAAATCTTTTCGTCTTTTGGTTTATGCGTACCCTATAATGACAATGATGTATGGGCATCATCAGTTCTTCATCATCCACCTATTATTTTACCACCACAATCTGGCACGTTCATTCAATATGTTGCAGACAACGCAGATATAAATGTAAAGACGGTAATAACACGCTTCACATATAGTAGGTATTATTTAAATTGTTACCCCGAAAAGTTCAGTTACACAAAAAGATCGAATATCACGAATAAAGGAAGTCCCTTCAGCAAAAGACTTGGCAGCAAAAGCTCATGTGTCAATACAAATCTATCAAAATGATAGTGTAGTCGGTTATAGTAATATAAATGTGCAATTTTTACCTTATGAAAGTGAAGATTCAGTACCTTTACTTCAAAAAGTAGATGTCATATGGTTCTATGGTATATGCAAGAATTTATCATTACCCGGTTAAAATGGTTTTATCGAAAGTTTAACAAGTAATATGATGACTTTTTTGAAATTCAAAATTTTATTTTTATCATTTATTCACCAACCAGCAAGTAACTACAGTACTATATATACTACTTTACTTTGTGCTTTACAAAATGCAAAAAATTATGGCCACGAAGTATGCATTAATACTTTCAATCAACCTCTCTATGCAAAAGCTAGAG